AGCCTTGTAAGGGACAAACTAATAAAAAGCTTTTTTTCTCAATAGATTTGGATTGCATTGATGTGCATTTATGTGCAATGCATTATGTTAAAATGAGTCCCACAGCATTAAACATTTTCTATCTGACGATCCTATGATTAACCCAAAACAAGTTAACTTTATTCTAGAGGTGACCGAATTTTGCCTAACACACAACTCTTTCAGCTTTGATGGCAATTTCTTTCACCAACTACAAAGGACTGCCATGGGCACCAATTTTGCACCATCCTACGCCAACTTAGCCATGGGCAGTTGGGAACATCTGTACATTTGGCACAACAACCCATTCTCAGCACATCTCACCTTTTTTGGCAGGTATATAGATGACATTATCATCATCTGGGATGGGTCTCCATCACTCATTGATGACTTTGTCACATATTGCAACAATAATCCCTTTGGTCTATTTATTATAGGTACTTATATAGCACCATCAATTTACGCAGCACTTTACATATATATATATATTGTACATTCACATCAGTCCCTAACCCTCAAGGGGCGCACAATCTAAGTTCCCTAACTCACATTCATACATACACATACTAGGGCCAATTTAGACAGGAACCAATTAACTTACCAGCATGTCTTTGGAACACTTCATATCCGATAGAAGCCAAGACTATCTATCATTTTTAGATCTAGAGCTCAGTCACGCCAATGGTCAGATAATTACCAAAAACTACACTAAACCTACATCACCATATTGTGTTGCGCTCCCTAAAAATTACATGTGATCACTTATCACTGCCCAATCCATATGACCATATATAGACAAGTGAAAAAATGTAACTAAACATACATTAAATCATTTAACCAAAATTCATGTATAATAATCACTTAATTTACTTAAAAAACAAAATAATTCATAATATTAATGTATATCCGTGATTATAAAATTGCTAAATCAATAATACATCATTTTTAGTGAAAAAATATAAATCTCAAATAAAATTATTTTAAATAAATATACATATATACTTAATTAGTATTGTGTAGAAACAGTGTCCCATATAACATAAAAATAGTGACTTAGTGCTTTAATTAATCTTCAGTCCGTGATTGCATATGAATCCGTGACTGTTTGTGAATCCTCCCATTAGTGCAGATGTAAGCTCACCTCCTTATCTGCCTATAATTAGGCTATATGCGCTTTTGGTTCTCCTCCTATGGAACCTGCTTGATTTAAGACTCTTTCCTTTTTTAGATAGTGGATTTCCTTTATCACTGATTTTCCCCTCTGGGATTGATTCCTCCTCACGAGGACACAAGTCCTCTATACTCTCCTCTCCATACGACTCTCCACATATAGGGAAAAAATTCTAAACATAGTGTTTTATCCTTTTTAAAATATAGCTTTATTATCTCCAAGTAATACACTCACATGTGTTGTGATCAATATAAGGCATTTCAAATGTAAACCGAATCCTCCGCTGATTCTTTGAAGCATGCACCCGCCGTCTGGCAAACAATCTGACTCCCTCCGAGTGACGTTGCAGTCCCACCCCTACGCGTTACGCCACTCGTCACGTGGCTTCATCAGGGGGTATTGATCACAACACATGTGAGTGTATTACTTGGAGATAATAAAGCTATATTTTAAAAAGGATAAAACACTATGTTTAGAATTTTTTCCCTATATGTGGAGAGTCGTATGGAGAGGAGAGTATAGAGGACTTGTGTCCTCGTGAGGAGGAATCAATCCCAGAGGGGAAAATCAGTGATAAAGGAAATCCACTATCTAAAAAAGGAAAGAGTCTTAAATCAAGCAGGTTCCATAGGAGGAGAACCAAAAGCGCATATAGCCTAATTATAGGCAGATAAGGAGGTGAGCTTACATCTGCACTAATGGGAGGATTCACAAACAGTCACGGATTCATATGCAATCACGGATTGAAGATTAATTAAAGCACTAAGTCACTATTTTTATGTTATATGGGACACTGTTTCTACACAATACTAATTAAGTATATATGTATATTTATTTAAAATAATTTTATTTGAGATTTATATTTTTTCACTAAAAATGATGTATTATTGATTTAGCAATTTTATAATCACGGATATACATTAATATTATGAATTATTTTGTTTTTTAAGTAAATTAAGTGATTATTATACATGAATTTTGGTTAAATGATTTAATGTATGTTTAGTTACATTTTTTCACTTGTCTATATATGGTCATATGGATTGGGCATTGATAAGTGATCACATGTAATTTTTAGGGAGCGCAACACAATATGGTGATATAAGTTACACACAGTGGTTGTTATGTGTTAGGTGTTTGCGATCCTAGTATATTAAGGACATATTTGGTCCAGTTTTGTGCGATAGGGTGGGTATCTGATTTGGCTCGCAAGATATCTAAACATTCTTACACTAAACCTACCTCATGAAACTCCTATCTACACTATCAGAGTTGTCACTACCCCACCTGGATAAACATCATCCCCAAAAGCAAAGTCTGCCGCCCCGCCAGAACTGCACAAAATTGACAGACTATGAAGAACTCAGTGTCACCCTTGAGAATAAATTTGAGGAAAAAGGGTATCCCAAACAACTGGTAGATGCAGCATATACCTTTTACCTGTCTGGTAAACCCAATAAAAATAGATCTGTTGAGGACCCCCACCTCACAGTCAGATTTACCACTAGATTCCATGGGAGACACCATAAAATGAGAAACATCCTCCAAAAACATTGGAACATTTTGCTACAAGATCCCCATCTGAAAGATGCTATTCCCTCTAAACCCATTATTACAACAAAAACGTAGTCTCAAAAACAAAGTAGCTCCTAGCAAATTAAAATCTGTTTGATCTAATCATGCACCCTCATTCTCTACCCCATAGGCATGTTCCAATGTCGTAAAGCACGCTGTAAAACATGCCATTTCATCCAATATAGCCAAAAGGGGTTCCATCACAAAGGGAAATACCACAAATTTACTGCATTCTACAACTGCTCATCCTCCGTTGTTTACTGTCTCAGGTGCCCTTGTGTCCTCCTGTACATGGGCCGCACCACACGTACCCTGCATTGCAGGTTTGGTGGACTCCGCCACCTGATTGAAGGGGGTAAGGATGAGCATAGTGTTCCCCAGCATTTTTTAGACATCCATAATAAATCCACTGTGGGACTTCAGGTTTGGGTGGTCGAGATCATGTCCCGTGATCTCCCGGAGAGGGAGAGCTTCCAAAGGCTTTGCCACAGGGAGACGTTTTGGATACATGTCCTTGACACCCTGTCCCCCACTGTCCTTAATGAGGAGTTGGAGATTGCCACCATAATATAACCTGTTTTCTGCATCACTAAGTATTTAGTCATCCCATATCCTCTATGTCTGCACCTTGTTCCTACATATGTACACATTTGGTATATAACCATCATTGTATTAAGGGTGGATCATATGATAAGCTAGATATTGTCATTCCCCTTCATTTGTATACAACCTTCATCTATCCATTGCATTGCTGTGGTCATCATAGACTATGCAATTTCATCTACTACCCAATTTTTGCTCTCTGACACCCCCTATTGCCTTCTCTATACGGGGCACTCACAACATCTCACTATATCCACACAGGATTACCCCCCACTAATAAAATACCATAATTCTTTCATATACAAGTATGTACAGTTCTTTTACATGTAGATCCTGTTTTAGAGATACAAATTTTTATCATATTCCTTTACCAGTTTCCCATTAGAGTGCCCCCCTCCTTTTTTTATCTATGTGTTTACCAACACGCATTTTATACCTGCATATGTGTCTTCCTTCCCTTCCCCCCTTCTTTTGTTTTGTTTTATCCTTATACCCCATTTTTTCTCCCAAAGGTCATATTACTGTTGATAATAATATTTAATTATTTCTGTACATTATACTGATTCTATGTTTTTATGTTTTCATGTGAAGCCCAAGTCTTTTAATCTGTTATCACATGCATTGTATCCCATTGCCAGTGTCAGTTTATCTTTCTCCTGATCACAGATGGCTTTCTTGCTGCTCTGTGACCATTCCCTGCCAAGTTTCCCCGCCCCCGGCCCTGTGTATCATCCGCCCTCTATCTACAAAAGGCTCTCCCACTTGCCAAATCCTCCCTGCCTGATGCTCAGAAATGCGTCGCACATTGATGATGTCGGACGCCGAACGTGACCGACCTCGGACATCTTAGAGACTCTCCAGGCTTCACCACCCATGCTACACATATACAGCACCATCTGCTGGTGGACCTGGGCTATCTCCTTCTGCTACAGTCACCCAAACATCTGGCATAAGACGTTTTACCTCTCCACTTCATGAGCCTGTTTTTAATTTCTAAGATGTGAGTTACTACTTATCTTCTTATTAAATACTACTACAATACACACTTAGAGGCGCTGTGTTCCTTTGTTCCTACATACATTGTACCTGTTTATCTGCATTTTTCTCTTTTCTACATCTGTTCAAAGTGCTGAATTTATAAAGCTTGTCTGAGAATTCAGAAAAAAGGGGCAGAGAGCTGAAATGACATGCTGCAGAGTTCAGTGAGAAGAGCTGTGAGAGCTGATTGAAGGGAAAAGGCACCCCCCCACACACACACACGCTCCACATGGCACACAGAACCAGATCTGAGGCTGCCAATCTGCTGGACTTCCCTCCCTAGTCACCAATTTTCTCTTGGTGTCAGGAAACCTTGTCAGAACTGATTCATGCTGACAGCAGAGGAATGAGGCAGCAGACAAAACTGACAGTTAGTGCTCTTAATTGAGACAAGCACACATTTTAGAGGGATATGCTTTGCTCATATTTCATGTCTGAAATTTACAACCACTTTAACCCCCCTGGCGGTATTCCCGAGTGTAGCTCGGGGTTAAGTTTCAGTACCAGAAGTGGTAACCCCAAACTACACTTGGGATTACCCTGCAGCGTTGCTCAGGGATTCCCTCCAGCACTTACCTTGTCCTGCGCTCCCGCGATGTTCCCCCTGCAGCGTCCACGGGCATCTCCTCCGGCCGATGCCGGCATCCATCTTCCGGGTTCCGTTCCCTGCAAGCGTCGGGACATACGGAACGTACGGGGGATGGAACTGGCGGGAAATTAAAAAATTTTAAAATGTGACATTCACTCAATACACTATAATCTCTTAGTATATTACTGTATCAAACCATTTCACATACATTTTGTCCCGAGTGCTTTGTCCTGTGCCCTGCCTGCATTTGTATCGTTCGCTCTGCCTGGAAACTGAGAAACGTCCAAAAAGCGTCCCTTTAGATCAAAAGCGGTTTTAGACCGGCTAGAGGACACTGATAGTAAATCAGAACCACTTGCAGAATTGAGTAATAATGATTCGTCATCAGACACTGAACACAATTTTGCGGCTAAGATCAGTGATGTGCAAATTTGGTGCTCTGAGGAAGGGAGCTCATCTCCCGAAATGCGTTAGCACACCCTGTTGCAAGACCACCACTTGCTGGTACTGTCACTTTGGTTCCTTGCTTTTATTCATGACTCTTGGTTTGTGAGTATACAATTTTGCCATTCTCAATAAATTCTTTTTTTATCACGGTAATGTATGAGGAGAGTGCGTCCTTTTTTGCTCTACACCAATACTCAGAGCGGACAGTGCCTGTGTTAGGAAGCTGTCATGTATGTGGCTGCTTCTCGCACAGTTCTGTGTCCCCCGCTCCATTCATCTGCCAGCCGGGGTATTTCCCGACCGAAAACAAATTAAACAGAAATACAAGTGATGTCATTACCCCAAATATGGCAATGTCCATATTTGGAAAATGAGTTGTCATTGGGTGGGTGGACCCATCAGGTCCACATTATTTTTGGCTGGCAGTGCACAGACAGACACTCCTTCCCCAGTGCACACACGGAACAGTTCATGTCTGTGACAGGCAGATGAATTGGGTGCAATCCCTGACAGAATTATAAAGAGCTTCAATGACTCCCTTTATGAATTCCCCCGATTGAGTCCAATGAACCATTCACATCTGCGCACTGGGTTGTTAATGATGAGGCATGTCTGATCTTAGATGCATTTATATGCATTTTCTGGTCCAGTGAAGTCTAGGAAGACTATTGTGCATTTTCAGGCTTCTTTTACGCATCCTCAACTTATTGTTGGGGAGCACATGGCAGCTGGTCACCCCATGATTACCCTGAATACCTGCCACAATTCATCTGCCATGATACCTGTCATGTGCTCAGCCACAATGAACACTGCTCAGCTGCTGCAGCAGCTGCAAACAGCGGTGTAAAAAAAGTCATGCCTCCTCAACTCCAGACACAGAAAACCAGAAAGCACATTCCTGAATAATGTCACTACAGAAAAAACATTCTCATTGGCAAAAAACAAAAATACAAGGAAATGTACTTAAACAAGCAAGTGCAAACATTAACCACTCCAATTTCACTGTATGTACAGTCACCGGCCACTTTAATAGGTACACCTGTTCAATTGCTCGGTAACACAAATTGATAATCAGCCAATCACATGGCAGCAACAAAATGCATTTAGGCATCTTGACGTGGTGAAGACAACTTGCTTAAGTTCAAACCGAGCATCAAAATGGGGAAGAAAGGGGATTTAAGTGACTTTGAACATGGCATGGTTGTTGGTGCCAGACGGGCTGGTCTGAGTATTTCAAAAACTGCTGATCTACTGGGATTTTCACGTACAACTATCTCTAGGGTTTACAGAGAATGGTCTGAAAAAGAAAGAAAATATCCAGTGAGCAGCAGTTGTGTTGACGAAAATGCCTTGTTGATTTCAAAGGTCAGAGGAGAATGGGCAGACTGGTTGCTGCAATATTCAGATGGTAGGGTCATAATTTGGTGTAAACAACATGAAAGCATGGATCCATCCTGCCTTGTATCCACGGTTCAGGCTGGTAGTGGTGGTGCAATGGTGTTGGGGAGATTTTCTTGGCACTAGCAAGGTGTACCTAATAAAATGGCCAGTGAGTGTGTATATACGGCCTCGTATAGAGGTGATTATACCAAGATCATGGTTGCAACTACAGCTATGATCCTGGTATCATTCTTTTCTGCTGGTGAAAGGGATCCAAGTGGCTATACAGGCTACTTTTACAGGAGGTCCCTCCCCCTCCCCCGCTGCCACCCGTTGCATTTTTTCAGTCTCTCCGGGGGAGCCTGGGAACCATGTGACTGGATGTATTGGAGGCACTGTGAAGAGTGGAAAGAATGGAAGTTCATTCTCCTCTTATGACATTAGAAACCAGAATTGACAAGGATTTAAGGATTTGGAGTGCATATGAGAGATCTGGGATCTAAAAGACTCCAGATCTCTCCAAAAAGGGGGCGTATCATGGTCCAAGCTATCACAAGGGGTGTTGTTTACCCCTTGTGACAGCAATAAAGTTGATAAAAAAATTCAATGTACATTTTAAAGCTCCCCCATCCCCCCATGCTCTTGCACAAAGATGAATGCACGCAAACATTCTTAACGCATATGTGAATGGAAATCACACCACACATGAGGTATCGCTGTAAATGAGAGCAATAATTTAGGGGCCAGACCTCCTGTGTAACTAAACTGGTAACCTCTGAAGGCTTTTAACCACCTCCCCCCACCATATAGTACAATGACAGGCACAAGGCAGTTTTCTCGATCTGGGAGGACGTCATATGACGTTATCCCATTCTCACCGCGCATGCGCGGCTCTGGGGGCGTGCAGCACAGCAATCGGTGGTGTGCTGTGTCCCTCGGACACAGCGGATCACCAATCCATGGAAAGAGCCAAAGATGTCGGCTTGGTCATGTGATCAGCTGTGTCCAATGTAAACAGGGAAATGCCGGTTATCGTGCTGATGGTGATCATTCTGTTAATGTCTGTGCCTGTTTGTGTCTGTGTCAGATCCAATTGCTACTTAGCTTTCACCTGCAACAGTGCTAGCCTGAGAGACACAGGTATCATGGGATATATAGTTTCTTCATAGAAAGTGTCAGTCCTTAGACTACAGACAGATGTCATGCATTATCTTGTTCAGTGTCATGCTGCATGCCCTATGTTTGACAAAGAAAAAGAAACATTTAACACCAGAATGTGAAGATGTTCTCTACTATGGGCAGTGCAGCAAATTACATCATAAAACCACATGAACAATGCACATTTTATGCAGGTGAAAAACACAAGGTGCAGGAGGGAAGGTTTATAATGTCTTTAACCCCTTTGCACCAATGTCACACAAGTATGCGGCCTTACAGAATTGGACTTTTTTTCTGTGGGGCCGCATATTTGCGTACCTGTCTTTCTGCTGATTCCGGGTCACATGCTGTGTGGTCGCCTCTGATTGGCTATCACACTGATCAGTCACTGTATAGCCCACCCCCTTGTTTTTCTTTTCTCTATGAATGTATACATTGTATCTCTCTAACACCTTGCATAGAAAAAAAAAAAAAAAACGTCTGCTAAAAAAAGTATAAATAAATAGATATTAAAAAATAAAATAAAAAATAAAGAAACAATACCTAGATCAAGGTTTGATCTAGTTTATTGCCAGAGTTAGTGTTTGGGTCAAGGTCAGGGTCAAAGGTCAAAAGGTCAGGGTCAAAGGTCAGTGTGTTTTAACCTCCCTAGCGGTATGATCATGTCAATATTTCTGTGCTCAAAGCGGAACATTGTTTTCAATGGAAATATGTTTTTTTATTGTAGGCCTGTAATTCTTAGGAATAACTCACTGAAAGCTGTTTAAAAAACATTAAAAATACATTAAATCATAAATTATAATATAATAAATAATAATAATAATAATATAGTAATAAATTAAATAATGTAATCAAATCAAACACACGGAACTCTGTCCAAACAATATTATATAGACACTGCATTTTGTTCTAGAAAACATCACGGGTGTGGTATATCCTGAAACACGGGACTGCACAAAGTCCAACATCGCAATCAGGACAGTGTAACCTTGTTTCTTTGCAGATTTTTTTTCCACTTTCATCTCGCCGAGAGCAACATACCACACACATCCGTGTAGGTGCTGCCTTTTTTTGGGTTGGTGGGATGTGGTCCATAAAGTGACATCCAGTCAGGCGTTCTGGGTTGACAACTCCCACAGCACGTCGCCCGGATTACCTACAGACATTGATGGCGTTTGGTGTTTGAGGAAGATGGATTCCGCAATAAAGTCCGCATGAAGCACAGGCTTGCCACTGTTTTTGCTGAACAGAATGTAGGCATTCCACAAGCACTGTTCCAGAAGATGCCGGAAAATCTTTTTGTAGTATTTCCTCTGCTGCTTTCTCATCATCGGATAGAAAGTCATAGCTTGGTCAGCTCTGTCGACACCTCTCATGGTGCTATTGTTGTCAATAACTACCTGCGGCTTCTGAATGTTTTTCCCACCTTTTGATTGTACCATCACTGTGGAGGCATCCTGAATGGTACTCATTAGGCACACATCCTTCTTGTCCCGCCATCTCAGTGCCATAATTTTGCCTTTCTGCCAAGAAACTATTTCTCCAGGCTTCAGTTTGCTTTTTCCAAACATTGATGGCAGGTTGCGCCGGTTAGCCCTAACGGTTCCATAGACATCCATTTTGTGCTGAAGAAGAACCTCGTAAAGTTCTGGAGAGGTGTAGAAATTGTCCATTGTTATGCAGTAACCTTGGATTAGCAGAGGCTCAATCAGTGACAGGACTTATGATGTTGCCATTCCATATTTGCTGTACTTGGGATCAAATTTTGTTCCTTTGCCGGTGTAAATAATTGTGTTCTAGATGTAGCCAGTAGAGGATTCACACAGCATGTAGGATTTGACACCAAATCGTGCTCTCTTGGATGCGATGTACTGTACCCAGCTGAGCCTTCCTTTGTAGGCCATTAGACTTTCGTCTATACTGATGTCTCTCTCTGGCACATAGCTCAGCTGGAAATTCCTGAGAATTATTTGGGAGATTTCCCAAACTTTCTTTAGCTTGGGAGCCAGATGAGTAGATTCATCAAAATCATCATTGTTTGTGAAGTGCAAAAATTTCATGATTAGTGAAAAGCAGTACTCCGACATGACTGTGCCAAAGATTGGCGTGGCAAGCATTTGTTGGTGGTCCAATACCACTTCTGCAGCGGTTTCCCCACCACTCCTTGAAGAATAATTAGGCCAAGAAACAGCCAAATGTCCTCTCTGGTCACAGGTTCCCACTTTCTGCTTTGTGAAAACCTATTGTACGAAGCGGCTAATTTTTGCGCTGCATACCTGTTTGTCTCCGTCATGATTATTCTAATAACCTCACCTGTCAGAAACAATTCTAAGTACGCCAAGGTGTTGTCATCTTCAATGTGGAATTTCATACCAGGTGC